GCAGGATGCAGCGCACCCTTCATGCGACTCGCCGAATATCTCACGGCGCTTCGCGCTTGGTGATGTGAGAGCCTGGTCCGGTGAGAACCCGGCGTGCTCCGTCCGGGCTTTGTAGGGATGCGAGGTCAATGGTCTAACGACTACGGCATGCACGACTATGAGTACACCCCCCCCCCCCCCCCCCCCCCCCCAACCCCCCCGCGCGCAACGAAGGGAAAAAACTTCGCCCTTGAACTTCATACATACACACAGAAACAAAGATACGTAGAGCAATAGCCTGCTTCACATTGTCTCGTGCATACCTTGTTTCCATCGAGTGGCGTGGCCTGACTGGCTGAGGCACCGAAAGTGACGTCGTTGGCGTTGGAAACGAAGTTGCGGTCCATGATTCCGTATGAGCTCAAGCCAGGCTGTGAAACATGTGACAGCGGTGGGTTTGTTTGGTTCGTTCTCACAAGACCTAGCTAGCATTGGCATATTCATTCATAGGCAAAGCACGGGTATGCTCTGTCGAACAAAAGACACACGACCTAAGGTCGTTCCACAATATTCATTTGCCTTTATAGTTTGAATACATGGTGACGTACATGTCTGTCGCCAAACTACGGGGTTGTCGAATGGATGACTGGTGTTTAGGCCACATCCTCAACTCTCACCCTGTTACCATCTCGCCAGACCCAGAACAACGGCTTCCAAGCGAATAAATCTTGCCTTTGTCATGCCCTTCGTGTCGCCGGTTCCGAGTTTGTCGTTGCCAAACGTAATGGTCCTAAGTTGATCCACCGGAAAGCGTTCTTGAATACCATGTGAGCCCTTCGGTGGTACGAGGAAAAGGGGACGTTTCAATGCAGGTCTCGTGGCCATCATAGAACCACAAGATGCTTTTGAGGCGTACCATTGATGATCTGGTTGTTATTGGCTGCCTTAGACAAGCCAATATGTAGCTATTGTAAGGCCAAGGCTTCATTTACCTCCTCGACCATATGCGGCGGTGGCCCCGGTGGTTTAGTGGTATCCTCGAAAAACCTAGTCCCAAGGATAGGTCGTGAGTTCGAATCCCCATGGGGG